TTGAAAGAAAGGTTGAATAGAGAATGGCAAGTTTATAGAAATTGTGAGTCGATGCTAGCTGTGAAATGGATGGATAAACGAGAAGTTTATATGTTAACAACTATTCATGATTCACGAATAATAGCAACTGACAAATTTATCATAAAACAGGAAGACAAATTATGAAACCTGCCTGTGTTCAAAGTTATAATGAAAATAAGGGTGCAGTTGATTTAACTGATATGCAGTCAAGTTTTACGGAATGCATTAGAAAAACAATCAAATGGTACAATCAATGCTTTTTATTTATATAAAATGCAAAACTCAAAGAATATACAGTTGAACGAGTTTCGTCTTCAACTGGTGAAAGATATTATATCAAAGTATGGCAATCAAAAAGGAATTTCTGTTGGGAGACCATCGACTGATTCACCACTACGTCTATCTACTAGACATTTTTCATCACTTGTACCCTCAACAGCTCCAAAAAAAGCTGCCAAAAGGAAATGTCATGTATGCTCTCATACAACAAGACGTGAAAAATTAGCAAATATACAAGATATCAGTGTGAGAAATGCGATGTTGGGTTATGCATAATTGATTGTTTCAAAGTTTATCATACCCTAAAACACTTTTGATAATGATTTTTGATTCAATAAACATCTATTTTACTTATACAAAAAAACTTAATTTTTTCAAAAAAAATCCGGCACCAAAAACGGTTAAAGAATTTTTGCATTTTGCAATTATTAGAGTAAACAATTCAAAAAATAACTCTGAGGAACATTCCAATTATGAATCGGATATTATGCTTCGATATCAAGTGTTTATGCTATCTGCTACATCGTTAAAATGATTATTCGATTTAAAAACTCGTCTAATTTTAATGTGATTGAATTGACACTGTTATTCAGTTGCTAAGAGCGACACTTTTTCGACTAACAGTCTCAAACAATACGTTTTTATTCAAAAGCTGTTAAAGAAAAAAGGCATTAATCTGTTTATTTTAGTGACTATATCATTAAGAAGCCACGGGATATCTGAAAGTCAGCGAGTGGTGTACAACTTATTCAAATGTTTATTATCTATAATTATCAGCACTTATATAAATATGAGACTGTGACAATAAAATGTCGTGGAAAACAGGTGATCTATAGTAAACACTGTATTTTGAATCCTTCTGTTTTTCTACTTTTCTCCCTGCACCTCGATTTTTGACCATATGAAGGACAAAAAGATGTGAATTTTCTCACATTTGAGAAAAGCGCAACAACAAGAGCCATACAAACAAAATAATCACCAAAGTATACTTCTATTGTTATTTAGTGTGCATATATCTTAAAGAAACTTAGATCTAATCTAAAAATCTTTGTTATTCCTTCCAATTAATGCATCAGTGATGTCAAAAAATTGATACTAAAATGTAGTTAGCAAGAAATGTTAGCTAATAGAACTACATTATAACTTGAACTTGCGGTCTGAGTACCAAAAGACGAAAAGATCTTACCGCTGGTATCATAACAGAAAAAAACATGAAAAGAATTTTCTATACAATTAAAAGCAAAATATATATATATAGCACGCAATATTAACTTAAATATGCTATCAGAAAAACAACTCTATTACATTTTTCCGGGCGATAGTAGGATATATAAGAGAATGAAAAAACAGAGATTTAATAACATCACGAAGTGGGCAGTGTTGACACATTGTATCCAGTTCCTCTTCAATTATTACATGAATTCTAATTGTGACTGGAAAGGGAGAGAAAGCAGCTAGAAAAAGGAAAATAAGTGACTCACGCATATTTGCCTTTTGTATAACGTGAGAAAAGTGGAGAATTTTATGAGGATTAATAGAAAGAATGGACGACAATCGTCTTTATAGTTAATCTGAGATTTTTGAACAATATTATTGTGATCTTTTTAGAAAACAATGAAACTCCTTTATGATCCACATTTCTTAGTCTTCTTCCACATAATATTTAATTATCAATTGTAAAAGAAAAACAAAGAAATTGATTACATGAGAAACTCAGCAACTTTCCTATTCTACTATTAACTTTGTTTGTAAACGAAAATTCGTTTGAAACTTGCGGATGGTTAAATATCTTTTTTTGTCCTTCAGGATTGTTAGTGACAATATTCACCTATTAAATGCTTATATTTCTTACCGTTGTCATTGATATCATCGATATGCAGTGTTGTGTTCTATTAAACGAACATTGATCGCTAGTTAAAAGGGGGTTAAGTTCTTTTCTAGCGAAAAAAAGAAATATACCTCTTATTAACTTTTATAAGTGAGACCATCGATCCGTGAAGTATGCTAGCTTTGTCTCAGACCGCTATGGTTTAACTTAAAACGATATTTTTAAAATGGAGTAGCATTCTTATTTTTTTGTGTCATGTTATATTGAAGACAAAGATCTGACAATAACAAAACACCATATTTCATCGAAGAAAAATTATTTATTCTTTCTTTAATTTTAAACAACGTTATGTTCGAAAATACGAACAAAAACAAAGCTTTGAACAATTACAGACAAAAAAAAAATGGTGAGAATAATTTTTATATTGCCTAAATAAAAAAAACAGCAGACAGATTATATAAACTGAAGTGACAGAGAGGAAGAGGTAACGATAAACAGTTGAGAAGTTCCATGATTTCACCTATTCTCCTGTTTTATGTTGAGAGTTTTCGTCCCTCTAAAACAGCTTTAACTTCATCAGCATTTAATGTTTCATAATGTAATAACGCTTCAGCTAACAACTTTAGTTCATTTGAATGTTGTTTAAGTAAACTCTTAGCACGTTCATACGATTCCTAAAATAAGGCAAAGAAATGAACACCAACTATACACTTGTCGAATGATACAATATGAAATACAATATTGTAGACTATTCATCGCATACCTGCATAAGTCGTCTGATTTCATAGTCAATTGTTTCTTGCATTGTTGGACTGACATCGTTTACTTTCACAAAACCCATGCCAGCATCCTGCTCTTCATCCTTGAAACTGCGATGACCAACCTACAAAGAAGAATGATGACATTCTCCAGAACAGATAATAATCGTACTTCTGTTAAGGTATAATAAGAAAGTATCATATTTCTGAATCAGATACAAAGTGATATCTCATTTTACACAAAGAATTCAATCAATTTTTTTTGAGATATACCTTTTCCGACATTCCAAATTGTTTCACCATATTTGTTGCTAGTTTCGTTGCTTGATTAAAATCACTGGATGCACCCGTTGTAATTTTTTCTATTCCAAACGATAATTCTTCTGCAGCACGTCCACCAAACATCACACTAATAAACAAAAATATTTGTCTTAAGTACACAGCATACGCCAACATAAAAAACATACTCCATTTCAGCTAATAATTGTGAGCGTGTTCGATTATAAATATCTTTTTCCGGAATATGAGCTGTAAAGCCAAGAGCTTGTCCACGTGGGACTATTGTCACTTTGTGGAGTGGATCTGCTTCATCCGTGAAATAACGAACAAGTGTATGACCTGCTTCATGATACGCTGTGATTCTGTTTGTTTCCATATCTGGTATTTTTGACTTTTTAGCAGGACCCATTAAAACTTTATCACGCGCCCATTCCATATGTTTCATAGTAACTGCGGGTTCTTCATGTTGAGCCGCATACAAAGCAGCCTAAATATTACATAAATGGAAATAATAATTAAACTCGTTAGATGATACACGTACTTGATTCGTCATATTTTCAATGTCAGCACCAGTAAATCCAGTTGAACCTTTGGCAAGATATTCGGTGTCAATAGTTTGATCATGTTTCACTTTTGACATATACAAGTCAAATATATCTTTTCTACCGCGTAAATCTGGTGGTGCAATGTGAATTTCAACATCAAAACGACCAGGTCTTAAAATGGCTGGATCTAAATAATCACGACGATTTGTCGCAGCTAAGAGTATAATTCCTTCATTTTTATCAAATCTAAACAATATTAGTAATTAACATATAGAAAAATCTAGTCATCGCTTCGATACCAACCCATCCATTTCTGCCAATAACTGATTGATCGTCTGGTTAGCATATGGATGTAGTTGTGAACTTGTTCTTTTGGCACCTACACTGTCAATTTCGTCGATAAAAACGACGCATGGAGCACGTGCTTTGGCAGCAGCTAAACAAAAAAATCAGTTCAAGTTTTAATGTACAGTAGAGATATGCTCTTTCTTTACTCACTAAATAATTGTCGAACACGTCGAGCACCAGTTCCAACAAACATTTCATCAAATTCCGAACCAGATGTGTGAAAAAATGGGACACCTGCTTCACCAGCAACAGCGCGTGCAAGTAAAGTTTTTCCAATTCCTGGTTGACCAACAAGTAACACGCCTTAAATGAAATTAATCATATGCTTCCTGTTCGAGTTATTTTTCATATTTGAAAAAATACCTTTTGGTAAGCGTGCACCAAGTTTTGTAAATTTTTCGCCATCTTTCAAATATGCAACGATTTCGCGTAGTTCGTCTTTTGCTTCTTCGGCCTGAAAACAGCATAGTTTTTGTAATAATATTCTTAAATTGGTATCACTCAACAATAATTAAACGCTATGAACAAGTGTTAAAACTACGTACGCCTCGAACATCGCTGAAATTCACTTTTACATCTTCTGGATTTATTTCAAATTTACTTGTAACAGAAAAAGCGTTTGCAAAACCGCCACGAACACCATCTGTAATAGAATAAATAGTTGTAAAAGAATAACAGATGCTCCAGGAAAAATGATATTCTCACTATTTTCCCCTTATTTCACGTTTCATTGGTCACTCAGAGCTAAACTTTTTAAAAGATGCAGTAGGAAATTCTCTACAAGAATCTTCTAAAATTTTTTCTGTATGCGAAAAACTTTATATGAAAAACTCTGAAGGTCGCGAAAATATTAAAGTTCATAAAATTAAAAAAAAACTTTTTGTGTAGGCTGTAGAAAATTTTATCTTTTAGCTATGCTTCAGTTTACAAATAGCCAAATTCGACCGTTTTCTGGTCGGTTATCAAACACTCGGTTTTCGGATTGTTCAGTCGGGGATTGGGGGACCAGTCCGTCCCTTGACTTTTGAAAAAATGATTTTTTCCACTGAATCCCGTCAGAAAAAGTTGCTAGTTGATAAGACTTTAGACTATCTCTGAAGGCAAAAGAGCCGATCCGTCCTTCACAAAAATCCTGGCTACGGACCGGTTCACAGCTCATGAGAACGAGCGCATCTGAAAGTATAGAAAAAAAGACTTTTCTACATTTTAATGCGCATTTAACCGGGAGAAGAAAATTTATGTCCAAAAAAACGGATTTACAAAAGCTGATATTTTGACGTCCTTCAGACTTTTCATATAAAATTTTCCGCATAATGTGTACACATTAAGATTTTAGAAGAATCTGTAGAGAATTTCCTGCCGCATCTTTTTAAAAAAGTTTAGCTCTGAGCGACCCACGAAACGTGAGATAAAGAAAAAATAGTGAGAATATAATTTCCTCTGGACCATCCGTTAGAATACTGAACAAGTTTTAAATAAAAAAATACATACCGCCACCTAATGCTGAAACAATATTCACAATAAGCATCATCAAAATTCCATAAAATAATATAGTGCGTACAGCTTTTAATATAGACGGCCGCTCTTTTGGTTGTGAATCACTACCTGCAGCAGCATAGCCTAAAGTGGAATGAAGTGAATATAAAACATAAGTAATAACAAACTCGAGAATTACCTTCAGCAAATGCCACTTTTACTCTTTGTTGTTCATCGGCATTATTCGCTATATGAAGTAAGTCATTTAAACGTTTACTTTCGCTTTGAGATGACGGACGAACCAACTGAATAATCTATAAAAGAACAGAGAAATGACTTGAAAAAACGTTAATTTATCGTTTAAGTAGAACGTGTACTCTTTGAAAAAATGATGGCAATGATTGATCTTGATGAATTGTACTAGATGTAGCTGACTTAACCGAATCAAAGCTAGGTGCTCGACTTCCACCACTTATTCCTCCAGGCGATGAATGCCGTGTTTTAAATCCACGAAATTGATTATACACTAAATGATCAAATCCGATAGTTTTCAAAAATGACTTGTTGTTTCAGTGATGTTGTGTAGCTCACCTAAATTTTCGACTTTCAATAAATCATTATGTGTTAGATGTTGGGAGAGTCCAGCTCGACATGATAAACAGGATGCCGATATATTTTTTCCTGATGGCACGGTTGTTAACAACGATAAACTTGATTGAATTTCTGATAAAAATAAATAAAATTGCGATAAAACTACCTATCTCATATTTTTGGAGTTACCTTCTGTTAATGGTTGATTTAGTATACTTTCAATTGTTACATTGTCGAAAAAGAATAGATTAGGATTTAGCTGTAAAGTTGATAGATAAGATTTTGATTCATGATCATACTAAAACAAAGAGAAATTGTTTATCATGATATTTTTTAATATTATAATAAGTACTTTGAATGCTTGTTTGTGTCTTGTTTTTATATTACTTAAATTATGGATTTGTTTAAATGCATATTCATACGTTTGCTGAACACTTTGAGGTAAATACCGTAAAGATTGAAATAAAAATGATGCACACTGAGAACAAAGCTGAAAAATGAATATTAAAGCTTGTTTATCTTGATTATTACATAAGTATAATTATAACTTACATTTGTAGGTGTAAGAAGTGAATTCATTTTCGTTTTATACAAAGATTTTTCTTTTTCTCTTTCAGAATTAGTAAAAATTCAACATACCATCTAGAAATGAAAGATTTTTACAATAGTTTAGCTTTACAATTTATATTGAAATAATTGCAAAAATTTAATTTAACTTTCAGCTCTCTAACACGGCGGTTAAATAACTTGTTTCTCTCTCAAATTTAAAATACCAGTTGTTATTATATCAGTCAGAATGAAAGAACTATGTTTAGTGATAACTTGTTTGGTTTTTAACATTTTATTATATAAAAGATACTGTTTATATACATTATATAGTTCAATTACACACATCTTAAATAAAATAAACTTATCAACAACAAAAGAGCAGAAAAAACAATTACACACATAGCTGATAGTCCTTTATAATAAAATCGATCAAAATAAATTAATCTTGTATATAACATATATACAATAATGAAAAGAGTTCTTCTCAAGTAAAGATAACAGCAATTATAGAAAACGAAAGAGACATATAACAAGACTTCATTAATTTAAAAAAAAATATTTTTTACATTTTTTAACTGCTGTTTTATTTTTTGAAACCCACCACACCAAGTAAAATGGTATTAAACACAAAAAAAAACTTTTTAACAAGAAATAAATGGGACAAAATCGACTCAAAAACAAATGAAGACGAGTTTCAAAAAAAAACGGACACATGTCAATATATTAAATAGAAAAACGAACACATAGAACGAGAAACGTATATCGAAGAAACGGATTGTATATGAGTGACACAGACACAGAGAAAGAGACAGAGAAAATATTTTCTTATTTAAATATTTGGTTTGTACAAGAGAAGTAATTCGTCAGCTGCCTGAAATGCTTCATCTAAAAAGTCAACATCATTTAATAATAAACCATCAAAATCGTCAACTGTTGTGGATTGCACTACTGGCTGTGGCATTGTAATTGTTTTTACGTCGTTAGTATTAATCTGAACGGGTACTGACTGTTCTTGTGAGGTAACAGTAGGCTGAACAGAAGACAAATCAACATTGTTGTTGTTGTTAATTGTTGGTGAAGAATCAATTTGTTTTGTTGACAAAGATAACGGAGTAGTCTGTTTTTCTTCTTCGTTTTTCATAGTAGATAATACTTCAGTTGGTGGATCAAATGGTTTTATACATTGATTAATAGTAGATGAAGTAAGCAAAGTAGGTTTGACATCATTTATTTTATTAATTAATGAACGTTGTTTGAACGAATTGTCATTATTATATCGTTTAACTGCAACACATGGTTGTCCTCTTATATTTCCATTTTCTAACGAATGCTGAAGATGAGGTCGCTGCATTAAAGGTCGGATTACAGTTGTATGGTTCATTATTGGTCGATTTGTAGTAACAGCTGATGGTGAAGGTTTTCGTAAGTTTTTAATAAAGTCAGAAGTTTCCTTGTTCCAATCAAATGAAGACATTGGGCGATTTACTGACGAAGTATCCATCATTGTTGGTTTCGTCGCACGATGTGATGGTGATTTAGGACGATTGTTTTGTTGTTGATGAAAATGATATCGACGATTAGAATCGGTATCTGAGCTTGATGAAAGATCAGTGAGACAAAGATCACCAATGGTAGGAGGTAAACGAGTAACTTCATTAGCAAAGCGTTTTGCAGCTGTTGGTGATTGAATAGTTGGACGTTTGCGATGATTTGAATCTTTCAAAGCAGCTGATACAGACGTAGAAGAAGATACAGGAGAAAAACACACAGTAGAAAAATCAGTTTTTTGTGTCTTATTATTATTTGTTTCATTAGTCGAGTCAATTTTTTTCATCAACATGCTGTCAGCACTTGGATTTCTCGTTGATGAACATATAATAGATCGTTGATGAACATTTGATGTCTGCTTCTGGCGATCATTCTGAATAGATTGCCTAAAAAGGAAATATAAGCTATTCACTAAAAACACCAACCGCTAAAGAGTTCGCTAAGACTGACATTTGAAAAAGAATAGACAGAGTGGTAATGACAGCAAAAATCGTCTAGACTAATTGTCCTACTTACTTTTGCGAACTTAAAATCGTTTCTTGTAGTTGATTTGAACCTAAAATACCTAGATAGACAGATGTGTTTGCTCAAAGTACAACAGCAACAACAAACACAGTTAATAACAACATCATCAAAAAAAAAGAAAACGTGAACAATAAAAACAAGAAAACAAAAATCCGCCAATATTCTTTTTTCAACTTTTTTTTTCTGGTGCCAGTGCAAAATAAATTGAAAAGAAAAAATTATCGCAATCTAGATTATCCGGATCCAGAACTGATATGGAACGAATAAATCCAGCATGTCCATAAGTATGGTAGATCAGAACAAATCTCATGTTTTTTTCCGCTGACTTTTTGTTCTCAGCACCTTTTTCTCAATCAAAAAAAATTGGTACGTGAAAAAAAGACAAAAGGACATAGTTCATCCGATATTCCTACTGCTATTGAACAACAGAAAAAAAAACGGACAGCAATATTGATGGATAATACTGATACTGATGATGCTGTTGATAATAATAAACGACATACCCGCTGATTCCTAAAACAAACCAAAAACATTTTTGAAAAAAACTCAAACAAATGTGTTAGAACAACAATATATTTAAAGGAATGATAAATTTGGGTTGATTTTGAGCAAAAGGCTGAAACGTAAACCTATTGTATCGGAGCTGGATTTGTCTAATCATGTGGAAGTATAAACTGCACACTGGTCATATTTTATTGCTATTGCTCAACGAGCGAATTCTTGCATCTAGTATCCAAACATTTACAAATATCACATCCTACAATTTCTGTCAATCTAAAGTATAGTTTTTCTTGTCAGTACACTAAAACAAAAATGATTATACAGTTTTTGTTTTTATCAAATTCAAGTCATCTCCACTTTTCAATGAATCGAATATTTAGTAACATCTGACAAAAGCGCAGTTTCTCGCCGTATGTCACGCTAGCGAAAAACTCACGACTTAGTGACATTTTCAAAAAATTCAGTTATCTACTCACATCTTCCAATACGCCAGAAGAACAAATACGATGATAAAAAATGTATCCTTACTTTCTTTTCCAAATGTGCTTGATTTGACAAGGGTGAACTCAAATTTGTCGTAATACCAGATAATTGAGGTGTAGTTATAGCAGAAGATAATGATGACGGTGTCGACTGATTAGTCGACGGTGCCGTTAAGCGTTCACGATTCAGACGTATTGGTTTAGATTTGTTTTGTTCATTTGTTGTATCTGACGGCTGTTGCTGTTTCATGGTCATAAATGAAAAACGATTGGATTGTACAGAACACGGAAATGATATATCAACTAACGATGCGTCAGTAAGAACTAAAAGTAAAATAAATGTATGTGAACAATTACTTTACATAAATCTTCAATCAGTTATTTATTTCATTCTCAAATAAGATTAAAAAACGTACTAGGTTTTACGTTGACACCTTGTTTCTTATTTTCTTGTATAAATAAATCATCAATATCAATATCACTGTCTTCATCACTGACATTTAATGGAGGCGTGGTAGATTGTTTTCCACTATTATTCGCACTATCAACGTTTGTTCTTAATTGTTCATCATTATTCTGTTGACTAGCTAGAAATTTATTTGATGTTATACGTGATTTAATTGATGGGTCGGCTGTAACCACTACACGATTTGATTTTGCTGTTGCAACAAATTCTCGTTGATTTGATTGTGTTACTGTTGTTGTTGGCTGAGTATCGGCTATCACAACATTTCTTCGTTGAAAACTATTTCTTTTCAGAGTTGTCGTACACGGTTTCGTTTTCGAAATATCGTTTGGAGTTGTTGTCACTATTGATTGGTCATCATTCTCTGGTTTTGATTCACTGATAACACAACGGTTATTTATAGTTGACTTTGATATTCTATTATCAGAGCTATTAGATTCTGGTGCTTGATCAACCGTTGTAATCTCTAGTGGCAATGTAATACGACGAAGTACAGATGATGTTGATGAGAATTTTGTATATAAAGGTTCATTTGAAGATAATGATGAGGAACGAATTATAGAGCTTTTTTCACATTGATTATCAGTTTCCATTTGTATACTAGTATTATTCGACATGATATTCAAATTAGAATCACTTTCCACTTTTTTAATCATTGGCGTTGCTGCTATCAAACTAATACTTTGAACTGGTGCTTTTAATAAAGGGTCTAAAAGATAAAAAGCAATCTATTCCTTCATGCCTCACCACATCTCAAGTCATATAGATAAAACATACCTGTAACAGATGCAACTGTTTCCATAGTTATGGGAATTGTACCTAACGCAGTAGTTGTTGGTGTCGTGGCAGGTAAATTTGTTGTCGTTGTAGACGGTAGAGAAGTTTTCTGGAAGGCTGGACTAGTGTTCGCTGTCAATACTTGCGTACTGTTTGTTTTTCCGATATCTTTATTGACTAAATTCATGGATGCAGCTAGAAAAATAATTAAAAAATTAATATTTCAACGTTAATAAACTTAACACGACAAAGCATACGTCGCAAATTGCTTGCACCAGCACCAGTAAACGGTCTTGGCTTCATATGTATATACGGACAATTCACTTTGAGACAACCAGTAGTTGTGCTTTCAAAATAGCATGTTAAACCGATTGTTGGTCGCTAAAAATAAATTAAATTAATTATATCGCTATACCATGAGCTTAGCTTGAAACTTAGTAACTCAGAGAAGTTCAATTTGCCATGAAGTTAGGTATAAGTATAAAATGGGGATACTAAATATGATGAATGTCTCTCAGTAGCAGAAAGCAGACAGTGACTTACTTGAACATTTGTATGTCTCATTGAACAATTCGAGTCCACGCAGGTGCCACGTAACCATGCGGGACATATAATATCACAACTTAGTATTTTTGGTGAATGCCGAAATGGACAGGCTGTACCCTGCAAAGAACAGCATTTCTACTTTGTTAAGAAATATGGGTAAAAGTATCCTTCGTCATACTTTGGTGCAAGTTGATGTAACATAAAAATAGCAATCTTGATTTGCTTTATCCATTGAAGAGATACGTGACAAAAAATGAATCTAAGAACAGAGACTATATATACATTAATAGAATTAGCGCTGTTCGATAGTTGATTTCAGAAGAGAGCGTTCGTAAAAGAATATAATTGGAGATCACTGTAATGCTGCACATTTGATCATCCAATTACATGCAATTTCTAGTTTTTGAAACAAATATGCGATGTATAATATCAACTGTGAAAAAAAAGATCTGAAAAGCCAGATACGTAAACAACGATACGTCGGACTGAAAATTTAATTAAAGATATACTTCTCAAAAACAAGCAAACGTTTCAATTAAACCAACAGATCCTCATCAAGTCAAAAATGAGTATTTCTAAGCATAGGTCCATTTTTTTCCTGCCATTACATTATCCTTTAGACAATAAGACACTACAAGTGAAAATAATTTACACGAAACTTAGGAAAACATGTGACGAATATTTATTTAAATATCTTGTTGTTAGAACGAAAACTGAACAAATATGTCACACTTTTATTTACAGCAAAAGATGTCGTTCGACATTTTCTGGTTGAATCACTGTGCCAAGCGGGTTTCAACAGAACAGAGAGAGAAAATGTGGCCTTTACTAAAAACTGGAATCAGAAGACTGGAATGGAATGGAACGCAGGCAAGACGTAGGATTGGTTGAAAATTTCTTTCGATCAATCATATATTTTCCAGTTTTTAGTAAAGGCCGAAAATTCATATTTGTTAATTTAACAGTTTTGTGTCTGTCTTTTCTCGTTTGTTTTATTGTTTTTAAATGAAAAAAGCCTTTCCTTTCTGTGTATCTCTTTCAATTCACTAATCTTGCTTTTCTACTGATCTGTCCGAAAGTCGCATGGGATGTTCTGGAACCGCTCACAACAATGTGAGACTAGTGCTATGATTTTGTTTCTTCACAGGTTGAACTCTTTCCTAGAAACGTCTACTAGTCATTATCCAAAATTTCGGAAGGCAAGAAATTGCGTGGACTTTTGTGGTTTGTTTCTCCGTGCCGTCTGTAAATGTTTCAATTATGTACTGTACCGTTGTTTTATAGATTATTTTTATTTTGTTACGTTTATTATCTTCTCTTTTTTCCGTATTTTTTCTTTTATCCGTTCCCTCTCTTTCCTTACGTATATTTTTTGAAGCTGTGTGTAATTCTAAAAACGCCGTATACGTCTGATCTCCTAATATTATTCGTTGGCAAATGGCTATGTCAAGGCCACCAAATGATTATCCGCTAAGGTATATTTTGATTGTTCACAACTTAAATAAAATCATTCTGAATTGTGTTTTTCATGCTCAGAATTCTGGTACCAAGCGAATGTGTGGGTGCCATTATCGGAAAAGGTGGAGCCCAAATTAAACAGATTAAACAACAGACCCATGCAAAGTACGCAAATTAATGCTCGTTTAGATACATTGATGTAAATTCAAGTTTTAATGTAATTTTTAGAGTTGATGTTAATAAGACAGAATCAGCATCAAATTCTACGCATAGTCAAGAACGCGTTATTATTATTCGAGGACAACAAGACAATTGTGTTGAAGCCTGCCATGAAATATTGAAAATCATGTATGATGATGCACAAATCAAAAATAGATCGACGTATGAAAATATTTTGTTCTCCTTTTGCATAAAACTTATATATATATATTCTTCATTTCGTTTCAGTGAGGTTGTTTTAAAAGTATTAGCACATAATAATTATATTGGTAGAATAATTGGTAAAGCAGGAAATATTATTAACAATATTAAAAAAGAGTCTGATTGTACCGTCACTGTCTCAAGGTAAGCGTTTTTCATGAGAATATCAACACATTCACTGTCGTATACGTCGAATGACGTATTCACGTCATATATTTCAGCATATGTGGCAGTGAATGTGTTAAGTAGTCCTTGATGTGTGTATGTATGTGACTGCACAGAAAAGGTTCAGTAAACTAGACGTTTCATCTCAACGACACAAAACATACAGAACTTGTAGAACAAGTTCAAATTCTCAATGAAGAATTCCTGAAAAGGCTACCACTTCAAAGAACTTCAAGTTTGTCTCTTGTTCCTTGATCTCGCAAAAATTCAACGTACTGTATATTTTTAGTGTTAATGATGTAACACCGTATAATTGCGAACGAATTATTACCATAAAAGGTGAATTAGATAATGAAATAAAGGCGTTAGAAACTGTGTACAGCAAATTATGCATGGCGCATGAAAATGATTACACAAAGGCGTGGACAAACGGTATCAGTGGTCAGCCACAATTAATGATGATAGGACCTCCTCAGCATTCTTCATCAAATATTGTTCTCCAATCTGCTCAATTACCGCCACCTGCGTCATCAACACTTTCACATCCACAACAAATCCTACCAACAAATTTTTCAAATACGATGGTACCAAAATTAAATCATCAACCAAATTTTTCAAATCCTTACTATGTAAGTAAATGTCTCGTTAGACATTTGCAAATGATTTATATACTGCGTGTTGTTGCAGCCTTCGCCATTTTATCCCACTCCTGGTGGCTATTATATGGTTCCTACAACGAATTTGAATAGTAATAGCGGAACATATAATAATATGGCCAACAGTAATTATTCACGAATGTCAAATCCAGTGGCCAATGAAACAGTTAATTTGTATGTGCCAAATACAGTTGTTGGAGCAATTATTGGAACGAAAGGACTATTTATTAAAAGCATAATCAAACATTCAAATGCCTCCGTTAAAGTATACTCAGAATGATTTTTGTTTTCTAAGAACTTGTACCATTTTCTGTTTTCCACCAGATTGCTCCAATAAGTCCAGATGAAGATCAAAACAAAATAATTGATCGTCAAGTTACCATTATAGGAACACCAGAGGCACAATGGAAGGTATGCAAAATTGTTCCTAAATTTTATAGCCGTTATTTCAATATGGTTTACTGTATATTTAGGCTCAATATTATATTTATGATAAAATTCGACAAGAAGGTAAAGTTTCTTAGGCATTTGTTTGATTAATTCATGAGCGATTTTTTTTAAGGCTATGCTGGTAATGACGATGTAAAACTTCGAGCTGAAGTTTTTATTCCAAGCTCAGTTATTGGACGTCTGATCGGCAAGGGAGGACAAAATGTAAGTAACGTTATCAATAAAACGCAAAATTATAGACAGAAAAAGTATTACAGGTTCGCGAGTTACAGCGACAAACCGGTGCAGCTATTAAATTACCTGATGATTCACAGCAACAAACGCAGTCAAACGAAGTTCCAGTGAAAATTATCGGTCCGTTTCAAGCTAGTCAAGTATGTAGCAGTGTTTATTACTTTCTTGGGAAGTAAAACATTTTTGTTATCTTTAGTTTGCTCAGCGTCGTATACAATCATTAATACAAATGTCAATGAATCGCTCGGAACCTTCTTCTTCAACATTACCGAATATAAATGATAATAGTTCAGACAATCGTGCATCACATACGAATAATAATGATAACACAGACGATAATAATTCATCACCTTCTGCCAGTGAGAGTACCGAACAATTGACATCATCTATGAACGGCATTACTCTTGAAAACAATCTAAACGCTGATGATGAAACAGAGGAAAATAATAATGGCACATCCACATCCTAGGTTATAAACATGAAGAAGAAGAAAAAGAACAAACGAGGTGAACGTGCAATATAAACAAACTTTTTTATCGGCTGAAAATTGCATTTATTCTCCTTTCTTAGGCGTTTTTATCGTGTGTCACTCTCTCATTTTTTAACAAATATCGAATAATGTGTCAAAGTCAAAACAAAACAACAAAATTGTATATTATCGATGGTTATTTTTTCTAGGGAAAAAATACCAAGAAAAGATAACTTTTATATTATATTGATCTTCTGTTTGTTTGTTTTTAAACAATATGAAATGATAAAAAAAATGTTGGTCTCTTCTTTATGTTGCCCTGTGTGTGAGTGTGTAACAAGACAGAGGGAGAAAGAGAGAAATTATATTAGTTTTTATAAATAACTCGGTGATAGGAAAAAACGCTGCGTTAATCTCCTAGGCTTTTTAAAGGAGAAAAACCTAAACAAAAGTCGTTTGTTTTCTTCTTTTAATTACGGTGAGATGTGTTTGTACTCTTAGTTTCGGTTATGTTAAAAGAACATTTTCATTTTTGTTATAGTAGATTAGACTAATTAAAAAATATGAACACAAAAGAAGTGGCACTATATATACATGTTGGCTTAGTAGCCTAAAAATACGATGATTTTTTTTTTTGTATTATTGATGGTATGATACTCGAGTGATTCTTGTTTTTTTTAATATGTTTTATATTGAACAAAGTACATCGTATTTTAAAGAATGAGTCAGAGAGAATCTTCTCACATATTAAAAATAGAGCAACATTTAAGATCTTTTTTTACTTTGTTGACGATCGCAGTTATTTTTTTCATATCGATCCGTACGTCTTTTTTGATGAGCTTTGTATTTGTTTGAGTGTGCGAGCATGTGTGTGTGTTTTGTCGTTCCTTTTTTTCCGCTTGCTTTTATTCTGTATCTTTGTGGCTTTCATGTTTCTAGTACAAAAATAAAGAAGAAAATATATGTGTACCGTGGTAGAACTAATAGTATACTGTTTAAGAGGACAATTCTATAGTAGTAAGAACTTATTGCGGCAATGTATCGAGGAGAATTTGGCAAGTGAGGTAAGTCACTTCTCTCTTTGATTTTTTTTAATGTGTACCACTGATAAATTGACATAAAAATTTCATAATGTTCAACTGGAAAGTCTGTTTTTTTTACTATTCCATTTTTAGTTTATTTGTAATGGCTTCTTGGCTGAATCTATCTCAAATATTTGACATATCAATAACATCACCTGTTCCTCAAACGGATAAAGTGTGCATTACGGCACTGGTTGAATCTTGGAATATGTTAACGAATACAATACTCCTACATGATGATGTCAATAAATTAACTGTATCATTTAATAATATTGCCAATAAATCGATATTAAATTCATTGAAAAGAGATGATTGTATTCAAATTTATGGTAAACTCATTCGAAATGGTCGAAACATAAGTAAATTAGAAGCAATTTCTATTCGTGTGTTAACAAATATTGATATAAACGACTATTATAAAGCGTTAGAGTTAACTCGATCGTATATGACACATGTTGATCGGAATGTTGGTGCATTTAGAGATATTTTATAAATAAATTTGTTATTCTTAAGTATCATGTTCTTCTTTTATTCAATATTTCTTACTGTTAACAAAATAATATAAAAGTTTTTCTGTTTTATTTGATTCCACTGGAGTTCTAGATGACTAACGAAATAAAATCGATTATACAATCAACATTTCGTTTGAGAGGACTTGATGTAAAACTGTATGTGATAATTTTTTCTTCGCTTAGAAAAAATAATGTTCTTTTGTTTTATTAAGCGATGGATCACAATATTTGTTAGATCTTGCATCGAAAATACCATCGACTTCTCTCACATTTTGGTTAGATCAACTTATTGATCTTCTTACAAAACGAAATCGTAAGTTATAGAAGTTGAAAAGAAGACTTATAAATTATATATTTTCTTTAACTTAGTTTCATCATCAATCATTGACAAAGATACAGTTGTTCTTGTTGTTAATGAACTTGACGCACAATTATCAGCTGATTCCCAGTAAGCATTATATAAGTGTAGCTTGCAACGTTGCTATTATCTATTGTTTATTAAGTAATGAAGGTTTATTTTCTGTGATAAATGCATTTTCCATGCCAAAGTATGTTTATTCCAGGACAACAAAAAAATTCATTAAGTTAGTTTTATCTGTTGATTTCTCTCGTACACGCGATTTTATAAAGTTTTTCTCTGTTTAGAAAGGAAATTGATTCAGATTTATTTGGTAGTGCAAAAACACGTTCAGAAGTGTTTTGGGAGCGTTATGATCTATTGTTACAAGTATACTATACGGTTGTGATTCGAAAATGAGTGCATTTCCAACTTTCTATTTCCAGAGAACACTTCGACATGATGTCTTTTCGCAACTAAATCTTGCACCTGGATTAACTAACAAATCGCAAAGATATCAGGTAAATTACATATATCTGTATTTAGTCCATTCGAAAGTTATCAAATTTCTTTTTTTTATAGTTGAAAAATATTGAACATTTATTAGCAGCCGGTTCAAAATCCGAAAAAGTTGTTGTATTGGGAATGTTATCACAATTGCATGAAGTGTGTGTGTGCACTTAATTTATTTGTTTTATATCGTCTAACTTTTTTCTTATTATAGACAAAGTACGATTTACAAGATCCATCGGGTGTTATTTCAGTGAATTTAATTGATGCCGTATTTCATCATGGGTTTTATTTTGAAAATTGCTTTGTATTAGCCGAAGGTTATATTGATGACGGTATTTTTCAAGTATCAGCTATCGGGCTTCCACCACCTGAAACACAAACAATAACCAGGTAAGAAAAATTGAACAAAGCAATAGTACAGATGTCTGATTGTTCGTGTTTAGATCCTACTTTGGCGATATTAATTTAACAGGAAATTTACATGATACTAGTCAAAAAACAAAACTTCGTCTTAAAGAAATTGAAGAAAAAACTGATGATGCATTTGTTTTTTTATCCGATGTTTGGTTTGATGATAAAAAAGTAAAATATTTCATATTTTCTTAATATTTTTATTTGTTGCTCTTATTTTATCTAATTTCGAGGTTATGGAACAAATTCAAATATTATTTCAAGGTTTTGCTGAAGATCCACCATTTGCTTTTATTTTTTGCGGAAATTTTTTATCTCGTCCAACGTCTAATTTATATATTAATGACTTGGCAGGTATGTGTATTATGACGTTTCTTTTCTCTTGGTGGTAAATAATCGTATGAGTAGGATAGTTAGATTGTTCATCACTATGATCTCTCTACTAAAAGAGGTCTGAAAGTTATAAATATATAAATACTCGCTTCCTTTCAAAATTTATGTTGTACGAACGAGATAGATTTTTCTTATTTTCAGATGCTTTTAAAAAATTTACTCAACTTGTCTCACAATATTCAACTCTATGTGAAAAAGCTCATTTTGTTTTTGTTCCTGGACCACAAGATCGTCATTGCTCAAAAATATATCCACGGTAAGTAGGATATTTAGCATTTGATGACAATTTTTCTTTAACGTTTTTATGAGTTATAGTGCCCCATTTCCATCCAGTATCCAAGATATACTGAAAAAACGTCTACGTCATGTTCATTTAACAACAAATCCGGTGCGAATTCAATATTGCACACAAGAAATTGTTATATTTCGAGAAGATTTATTACAAAAATTATGCCGTTATTGTATCAAATTACCAACTGATAATTATCCAAATCATGTAAAAGCTCTTCTATGGAACATTTTCATTTAAATGATTTTTTGCCATTCTTTTCAGCTATGTCGTACAATTATCTCTCAAGGTCATTTATCACCATTACCCGTATATATGACGCCAATCTATTGGCCATATGATCATTCATTATATCTATATCCATTACCCGATCTCATTGTATTTTGTGATAAATTTGCATCCGTTACAGAAAATGTGGCTGATTGTACTATTATCAATCCTGTATGTATATCATGCTTTTTCTCTAATCCTATTCATATTTATTTTTCTTTAAAAAAAGGGTTCATTTGCCATCAATAAATATTGTTTTAAAGTCTACATTCCATCCACAAGAGATGTCGAAGATAGTCAGATTAATCCTACACATTGAATGAACCATTAATTATACGTACTTGATGTCAGTCAGATATTTTTACATTTTTCTCGAATATGTCAGATTTAATTTTCCCTTTTTTTTTTTTATAAAAGATGAGATTAATTTTTTGTAAATAAAAAATAAATAAATAAATAAATAGATTATAAAATCAGAAATTGAAAATTTATTATAAAATATAGGGCAAAAAGAAAAGTTTTTGTGAAAAAAAGTATAAAATTAGTTTAATGCATTTGCCAATTTTATTTACGTTTAATGGATTAAATTAAAAAAAAGATATTTCTACATTTAGTATGTCTCCAAGCAGTCCGGTTTTATACTGTATGGTAAAGATAACTAAAATTCAATAAGCGTGTGTATGATATATATATTAGCTGGCTAACGTGAAGTAACAAGTCTATCGGTTCTTTTAAAATCAGTTTTTTTTTTATTAGAAACATGAAAGCCACAAAGATACAGAATAAAAGCAAGCGGATAAAAAGGAACGATAAAACACACACACATGCTCGCACACTCAAACAAATATAAAGCTCATAAAAAAAAGACGTACGAATCAATATAAGAATGATTTAGAGAGAATCTTCTCACATATTAAAAATAGAGCAACATTTAAGATCGTTTTTTACTTTGTTGGCGATCGCAGTTATTTTTTTCACATATTAAAAAAACATATTTTGCCCAATTTATTCTGTTAGATCGCGATTGCCGATTCTAAAATAATAAGAAAACATGTTAGTCATAGTAGTTTACGATAGTTAAATCATAAGTAGTTTTGAAAAAAAACAAAATCGATGCAGGAAAACAATTGAAAATCAGGAGAAAATCTTAAAAATCAGCTCCTAAAACCAGGAGAATTTTCATCAGCAGAAAAATCTAAAAATCATATTTTGACTCATTTACCTCTTTCACTGATACTCTGATTCTATCCTCCGATTATCGATTCTTAAAACGATCTCATCCCTCATGTGTATTAGAAGTACAAATAACATACATATTAGGATTTCCATCCATGTCTAAGTAGAAAAAACATTTGATATTGGTAATACATTAAGTTCTGACTTATTCTATCTATATATTGACTTTGCATCTAAGTAATAGTAAAAATAGTTATTATCTAAAATAATAAGAAAACATATGTTAAAATTAGGATAAAGTTGACTATTCAATTTTTGACTATTAAGAAGTAATGAACTAAATTCAATCCGCAAAGTCTACCACCTAATCTGAGAGTCTCTTTGAGCATATCTCTTTTCAGTACTCACTCTTTCAAAATCTTATGTTTGCGAAATGAAATACATAATATATCGACAAATCACTAAGGACACTGAGCAGTTTCTAGTCAAAAAAGAATTGCAGTTCCCGTTCGCAGAAACTGGAACTAGTGAACCGTTCCTAATTCAGAACGGAAACTGCAGTACAAGGAACTATGAACTATCAAAGGCCTAGTTTACAGTTCATTTTCTATTTTGGAATTTTACTATTGGTAGTGTTCAAAGAAAACGTTCGATGTGCGAAACTGTAATAGCCATGACTCAGAATCATGATCTGCGTGAGGATCACAGTGGGTAGAAATGGTTGGAGCATCCGAAAGATCTAAATCTAGCATACGTATGTTTATAAACGTCGTGGATCTAATTGTTTTCGGTCCCGATGAGTCAGCCTATTGGCAACATTTTTGAGATCACCTGATCTCGTTATTTTAATCAATCAGAAATAAATATGAGTTTCTTACAGGTTTCGTTAGGTAATATGATAGCAAAAGTTGACATTTCAGATTATGATTGATTACTGCTGACATATGTGATATTTGGAAAGACTTTTGTGACTTAGGAGCATCAATTTTTATTTTTACGTGTTTATATGTTCATGATTGGCAACGGAGTTTTTCAAAACGCAAGCCAATTTTGTTTTTTAGTACATGTACACGCTGGAAAACGAAACTTACTACAGAAGAAGGTTTCTAATACATATATGAGTGAATCGTATATTAATTCTACAATTGGTTGTTTAGTACCGTTTCTGCCATAAATCCGTAGTGGTTTGTCGGATTCCTAAAATTTATTTTTATTTTACTCATCTCATCACCTCTCACTACCGATAAAATTTTGAGCATTCTATGTTTTCAGGTGAGTGAGATACACGCATGAAAAAGCAGAAAACGCGTTTTTACCTTGACTAGCATGACTAAAAACGCGATTTTCACATCAAAGACAGATGATAAAGAAAAAGCAAGCTAGTGGATCGTGTAGAGCGCAAAATTCTCTATCCATCCATATCATTTACGATTTCGCTTCAGCACTTTGGCACAAATTTTTTTGGAGAATTAAGTTTTCCGTACAAATTGTAGGGAGACACCAAAATCGGTCTGACGGATTTAGGCAGCACTTAAGCGTAAAATTGATTCCACCACGAGATAGAGCATCAAAAACACTCCGGAAAACACACAAAAGTATTTTACTAAACGCCTGTTAAGTGGTCCAAAAATGACTAAGTTTAGATTTTTCACTCAGTTTGTAGGGAGAGATTTTGGAACTTGCGTTGCCCATAAGTCAATGAGATTGCATCTAAATTGTTTCAAACTTTCAGAACCAGAAGCAGGTAGGAAGTTGTATGAGTGGTAAAAATTTCAGCACTTAAAGTTGATGTCTTCCTAGTAAACTTCGCGTTATGCCGCAAAATGTAG